GGGGGGCGCTGGCGACCGCTTGGCACTCGGACCCAGGTTTAACGCCGCGCCCAGTGGGCTGGTTGGCCGTCGGCGCCGCGGGCACCACGGAACCCACGGGGCTGTGCTTGGGTCTGCCTGGCAGAGCAGGGGCGCGGCGCTGCAGCCGGGCCTCCCGCCAGGACGGGGCGGGGAGCGCAGTCACCGGGACGAACAGCCAGCGCCTGGCCAGCGGCCTGGCCGAAAGGAACCGCTGGACGGCGTCGGCCACCGGCGCACAGCGCGGTCACTTCCCAGCGCAGAGCCAAGTAGCCTGGGACGGAGAGGTCGCCTGGGCCGGGTGGAAAGTTACATTTAAAAAACAGAAAAACAAACAAAAAATGGAACCCAAGAAGTTTTCTGGGAAGGAGCTTATCGTGCAGCGTGTGGAGGCTGGGACGCCTGCTCCCTGCCCGGTTCTGTGCGCTCACCGGTCCCACCCCAGCGCCTGAGGCTGGAGTGCCGGGGTGAGAGGGCTGAGCGTCCCCAGGCCCCATCCTCGCGCTCTCCAGAAGGCCCTCGGGGCTGAGGGATGTGAGCGGTTTTCTGCGGGGTGCTAATGTGAACTCCTACTTACTTGGTGACCAAAAAACCGTGTGTGGAGCTCCCAGGTCATTGTCCAGAGAGCAGTTTCTTGGCCCAGGCGGGGGTCTCACCGGCTCTGCGCCTGTGGCCAACCACTGGGTTCGCTTTGCTTTCCTCATGTATGGATTTAAGTGGTTGACTAGGTAGTTTTGAAGGTCCTGTTTGGCTTAAAAACGTTATCTAAATGGCAACCTCATTCTGGTTATGGCAACGAGCCCCCCTCTTTCACAGCACCCAGGTGGTTCTCCACAGGTATATGTTATGCTCCTGAGACACCTTAGGGAGATACGAAGCTTAAGTATGAAGCTGATCTTGGTTTAAAACACAGATCGTTTCAAGCAATTAAATCTGGTGCCAGTGTATTAAAGACATTTTGACATTTGACATCCCTTTTCTTTTAGCTTCATTAGAAGTGCCCTTTCCAACATTGATATTTAATCCAAACAGTGAACTCAGAGAAGGTTTACCAGGGCCTGCCATGGGTGCAGAGTGCAATGCTAGGCAGCCTGTGCCCAGCCGAAACACAGTCTGTGGATGGACTGGTGTTGCCCTTTTGAAGGGCCCTTTAACATTTTGTTTTCTTAAAGATTCAAGTCATCCCTTAACACAGTTCACACACCATTGTCCGCAGCTCTGAGGTAAGGGGCAATGAGAACACTGAGTCAGGGGGAGTCATGGGGGTGCTGGACCCAGCAGAGCCGAGGAAGACCTGAGGAATATTTATGTATGTCTGAGAACTTCACCACTCTGCTAGGTGATCATGAATAAAAATCAGCATAGCACAGTCCTGTGACTTCCTTTAAGCTAAAAAGGATGAGAAACCAATTTTTTAAATTTTTAAAAAATTGATTTGAGAGAGACAGAGAGAGAGAGAGGGAGACATTGATTTGTTTTCCACTTATTTACACGTTCATTGGCTGCTTCTTGTATGTGCCCTGACTGGGGATTGAACCCACAGCCTTGGTGTATTGGGAGGACACACTAACCAACTGAGCTACCCCGGCGGGGCCATGAGATATTATTGATTAAAATAAAAATATGACTAATCCCTGAGAAAGTGGTGTGGCCCTAAAAGGAACAATAACAGAAAGTTCCTGCAATCCAAAGACCAGGTAAGACGTCAAAGTTGAGACTTAAATCCTTTCCCCAAAGTTGCCGAAAACTTGGGGGAGTCAGTGAAGTCAGTGGGGCTCCCAGGGGCAGCTTGTGGGAAGGGTTTTAGTAGAACCTCCATAAATGTCATCTCCCCTTCCCAAAATAACTGCCAATGTAATAAAGTGAGTGTGTGTGCTATGTACTCACAGCTTCAAGGCTAACCTCCTGACCGTCCCCCCCCCCAAACAGAATGTCACTGCTAAGCTCCTCTGTAGGAATTCTGGAAGCATCACTAGTGAATTGGGAAGATGGATACCACTGTGCCTTAGCTGTCCTGTCAGAACAGGGTGATGCAGGCTCCCTTCATATCCCCGGCCCTGTAATTCCTGCTCAGAGGCACAGGCTCGGCTCTCAGCTCAGGGCGGTCCGCAACCCTGCATTGAAAATGCCTCTTCTTGGTGTTCATTAGATGCTGGGACTGCCGTTTGGGAGCTGTGTGCCCATCAGTGACGGCCCCGTGAACAACGGCACTGGATTTCTTTCTTCTGTGTGACACCCAAGGACCCCATGGTGGCCGATCTGATGAAGAACCCCATGGCGTCTCTCTTGCTGCCGGAATTGGAAGGAGAGTTCTGCAGGTAGACAGGGGTTTGGCCTCCCCCCCACAGGTCCTCTGCATAAAGCAGAGAGGCTGGGGGGGGGCACTCTGGGTCAGTGACTTTAATAGGGCCCTGAGATGCAAAGCGATGTCCTCACCTACGTGAGGAGGGAAGCGCCCGGTGCCCTTGAAATCAGGTCAGAATTCCACCAGTCACCAAACTGTGTGATGTCAGGTAATGTATTTACCTTGGGGAGTCTTCATTTTCTTATCTGTAAAATGGGACTAATAATTTCTACCTTATAGGGTTATTGGGAGTGTTAACCTAAAAATAAAACGGACTTTCAAAGTGAAAGGCAAGAAGCATTTCTTGAGATCAATAAAAATAGCCACTTGGATGCACTGATTCAGCCCAGGTTGTGTTCCGGCAGGTGACAGAGGCAGTGGGGACTGAGGAGGAAGGGAAGGGGAGCAGTGGCGTCAGGAGAAGGAAGACACTCGTGCTGGTGCAGGTGACATAACACAGAGGTGCCAACTCTAAACAATGTCTTTAATTTTCAGTCCAGGAGCTGTCATATCTGCTTTCTTGTTATCTTTGCAAACAGTTCTTTGGGACAGTGTTGCTTTAGGTCCAGTCCAAAGGCGATTTCCCCTGTTTAACATTAAAAACTTGAGACTGAAGACGTTAAAGGCAGTTCCTCTGACGCGGCAGCTCCAGCTCTATTTTAAGTGGTTCTTTTTATTATTATCACTTTTTTATATGAGGGTTGGAAATATTTACAAAGTGTCTTGGACAGTACCTGGTGGGTAACTGGCAGCTCTTATTAGGAAAGGGTGGGGACGGGGCTGGCGAGGAGGTTGTTGAAGGAAGTGCCACAGTAGTTTTCTCTGAGGCACATGCAGTATTTTTCAAATTACTGCCTGTTCCCCTTT